AGTTTTTCAAATATGCGCAAATATATTACTTATTGGCCTTTGGTCACGTGACCATGACAAAGTATTTTATTTATAGTAACACCTCTATACAATCACCAAAATAGGGTGCGACGGACTTGGTGATTATAGAGAGGTCCGACTGTATTAAAATTGTTTAGTTAGTTGCTTGCTTCAAGTTAAAAAAAAAATTTGTATAATAAATTTGTTAGAGTATAATAATAAACTTAATATATTGTATAAAGTTGATTATTAATTAATAAAGTAGAAAATCACTAACTGATACACAAAACATTATTTAAACTATACTAAATACATTTCATATATATATCAAAGACAACTTAGATACTTTTTTAATACTTAGTATTACTTGGACTAGAATATTTTCAACAAAATTTATGATTACATATATGCAATCCTTTTTAATATTAATTTGGAATAGAGCATGTAGAACATTTTTTATCTAATTATATGCGGTTGATTATAAATAATTTTTGCTAACCTAAGTATTTAAAATAAGTTATGCAAGTTATTATTCAAATTATGAATATTTATTATATAATTTAATTTCATTTTAGCTCGTAAATATAAAGAATTTTAATAATCAATTTATAAATATTTATTATTTTCGGTCTTAGCATTCATTAATAAAGTATCAAAATATTTACTTCATTCGTATTAAATTTGTGAGCATAATGAATTTTGATATTTTAAATATTTGAAAATAAGGTATTAAAATTATGAATGGTTCTACCACAGAGTCCCGACATCCAAAATCCCGACACTCAAAATCCTGAAATCAAATTCCGACATCGCCAAAATTCCGAAAATATTAAAATCATAATATGACATCGGAATTTTCGGGATTTTAACCTGATGGGATTTTGGTATTGTCGAGATTTTGTGTATCGGGATACTGTGGTAGCACCATCTAAATTATTCGTATTTAGAATATTTACATTTATCGCTGTTTTCGAATTAGTGCGATAAATGAATTTTGTGAATCCCATGGATCCTGCATGTTACCATCAAGGGTAACATGAAGGATTCATGAGATTCACAAAATTCATTTATCGCACTAATTTAAAAACAGCGATAATTTCATTTACTTTGCAGCTTAAAGAGTATAAAAATGCTTTTTATTAAAATGAATTTTAAAAATAAATTATTAGAATTAAAAATATTTATTATTAATTTACTTTTGCAGTACGTACTTAGCAAACATTAAAAATTTTTTATTAATTCGAGTATTATGATTTAATTTCAGTTGTTAAGAATAAAAAACGTTCATAAATGATAAGCATATGGTTAGCATATTGTATTTTGTAGTATTAGATTTTTTAAGTTTTCTTTTTGAATGCAAATTATATTAATAATCACTCAATACAGAAATTTTTGTAAATTTAGTTTAATTAGCATCAATCCATTTTTTAAGATCATTCTTTCCGTTCCTGGTTTTGCGTGTCTACGTCGCGCAGTTATTTACCGGTATGTTGTCACGAGGTAAAAGTGAAACATTCAAAAATCTGGACAAACTGGTTTGGAATTAAGCTTTGTAGGCTTGGAAAATTTATGAGCTTATCGGCCAAAGTTGTGACAAAGGATGCCACTGTAAAATAAGAAGAGTTATGCTTAAACCTCATTAGTCTTTTAAAGTTATTTAAAGGATGTAACTTGATTAAGGTCGGTTACGACACTTATTTGCAAAGTATGGTCACATAAGCTCACTAACCTGATAATAATTCCCCTTTCATTATAAGGGGTGTTACATATTAAAGCAGTTCATTTTTAGAATTGTTTAAAAATTTTTTTTATTTGATTTTTGAATAGATATCTATTCAATAAAAAAGCTTAGGGCACTGACATTTTTTACGTAATATCCATTTACTATAAGGTCCCACATAAGATCTATATGATTGGCCAATTTAGAAATCATATAATTTCTTTGTGTAACGTAAGACATTGATATAATACATGCTCACCCCACCCCTAAAATATGTGACAAATGTCACAGCCCTTGGCATAAGTACGTAATCGTATCCACAAAATGAACTTGAAGTAAAAATTTTATATAAACTCTATTTGTAGATCATCATTTAAAGTACGTATATACGTACGTACGTACGTTGCATGTAAAAATAGGTAGTAACACCCTATATGACCAAATCACCAATGTCACGTCTCTGGCGAGTTACCTTACCTGTTGGTTGATTTATAAATGACTTCGAGTTGGCTTACGAGTGATTCAACAGGTTGACTTACCACAACTTTACCGAGTTTGTTTGCGAGTGACTTGTTGATTGCTTCACCAAGATAATCACAAATCCACCCGGTTATCTGATCCATCTGTCGGTGACCGGATGATATACACCTGGGATGGATCAGATAGAAAATTCCTAAATCCCGGATCTACGTTTCAACTTACGTACACAAATGATCAATCATCACGTTGGATCACATGATAACGTTCCCTAAAAACCGTCGCAGGTGCACCAATCAGATCTTTTCTAATAATCAACGCCATTAAGATCTTTGGCCTAAAATACACAATTATGTCTATGAAACCACTTTCTGCGCATTAACAAAAAAAACTCCTTGTAAAATTTTATTATAACTTTAACATAAAGTTTTATTAGTTTAAAAATATTATGTATATTCGATTGTTTTGACTAGTACAGATCATCTGATTTGTGAATTTGCAACGATCTTTAATTGTCCTATTGAGGTAATCCCAAGTTATCGGCAGCAATACCCGACATCATTTATTTTATTAATTGAATATCTTTATTGTTAAAAAAATTCTGATTTTATATTTTAACAAACAATATAAAAATATATATATTAGAGAATTAAAAAATAGCCTTTTTCCAATTTCAAAGAAAAGAAAATTAGTCCCCTTAACCGCATAAATCGTTTATACATATGGAACCAAATTATCTTAATGCTGGTTGAATTAAACGGTTAACACGAATAAATGGTTAAATGATTATAGCAATTTTGTGTGGCTTTAGTCTAAATTACCATTTGTGGAGTTCTGTATTTTTTTTTCAATTATGGCTAGAAATACAAAGGTGGGAGAGATCATCATAATTGAAAATGTGACTACAGCATGATCATGTGTGTTCTAGGGGTTTCCTTATGTCAAGAAAATCCCGGGCTGAAGATCACTGTAGATCCTTTCCGATCTAATTCCGAAGCCAAAA